CAACGACGCGTGATGGTGCTATACGATGCTGTGTCTAGCTTTGTGTTTGCCGACAACCTCGACAAGCTCAAGGTGTACGAAGACGGCTGGACCACCAAGTACAAGACGAACCACAAGTACCGCTCGAACCAGATTGAACTGTACATTGACGCGGTGTACGTGGTCCTCGCCGCCGCCCGCATCATTCTCAAGCCCCGCGCCCGTACCTTCTCCAAGAAGCTGCACAACTATGCGCACCACGACCACATTCGCATCTCGATGGAGTCGCTCCGCGCGTCGCTCCGCCGCATTCCCGGCGTCACAGCGGTAGGCCCACCCTGGCAATCTACGACTTGACGTGTCGACTAGGTGGCGGTCGAGACCATGGAGACGGACCTGCTCATCATTTGCGGCCGCGACTCTGGCGAGATGACGCGCGAAGAGCTCATGCGCTTTCTCGAGCGAGCGCTCTTGTACCGCCCGAAGAACATTCGCGCGAATGAATTTTTGGCCTTTCTACGGGACATTGACGCGACGTCGGTCACCAACGCGTACGGCGCATGGGACGTGATCAAGTCGACGTTTGGCCACTGGTAGCCTATTCCTCCATGTGTGGACGTATTATACAGCGTGGACGTATTAGGTCGACGCAAAAGTGGGATTTGTTTTGCACGACCATGGTCGTCTTGGTCGCGGCTTCGATCACGCCGCTGCTGGCTTTTTTCCTCCAGATCCTCACGGACAAGGCCTTTCCAAAGTCGACGTGGACGTATGCGCTCACCAACTTTGACGACTTTGGCATGACGACCGGGCTCTCGGTGCACACGGAGTTCAAGTGGAAGAATGAAACCTCGGACGACAATGGCCAGCGCGTCGAGCTGCCGTTTTTGCCGCCGCACGAGCTCATGATTGGCGTCATTGGCGTCATGTCGATTAGCATTCCGTTTACGATTGCCGACTACGCCATGGGTATGCTTGCTTCCTCTGGACGAGGCCTCTCGGTCTCATGTGCACTCTTGATGTAGGCTACTTTCAGTCGAAGATGATTGCGAAAGCGACGCAGCAGATGCAGAACAGCCTTTTGAATGTGATTATGCGCCAGCAAACGGGCTTCTTTGCCGACCGGTCGGACGGCGACCTCAACAACCTCTTCCAGTCGGACGTGGCGCGCGTTAACGCCATGTGGCAAGCCGTGTTTTGGGTACATGTCGAGTGAGATGCCATTGCAAGTGTGTCATGCCATCCATGTGTAGAACCTCATGAACCCGATTGTGGCCATTGCTATTGGCTTTGCGTACCTCATGTACTCGGAGCCGATTGTGGGCTTGATGTCGTTTGCATTTGCGGCCGTCGTCGTCACGTCGGGTCCCCAAGGCCTTGCCGGTATGTCGTCGTCTTCTTGAGTTTTTGTTGGATTTTCGCTGGATGTTGCATTTTTGCATGCTTGATTTTCTTGTATTTTGCATCAATTGCTCAAAATTCACCCCTTTTTCCCATGTAGGCAAGCAGTCGCAGACCTTTGGCTCCAAGAATGCGTACGTGGCCGCCGAGTTTCAGAACGCGGTCGCGTGTCAAAAGGTGGTGCGGTCGTACGGCATTCAAGATCCACTTCTGAAGCGCTTTGGCGCGAGCATTAGCGGGCTGCGCAAGGCCCAGTTCTCGAAGGATTTCTGGAGCGGCGTGGTCCAGATTTACATTGAGTCGGCCATGTTTATCTTTGTCCAAGTCATGACGGCGTGCCTCGTCATGAAGGTGTTTCGCGGCGACATTACGTCGGGCGACTTTTTCTCGTGTACGACGCTCCTCAACCGCATCTCGTCGCCGGTCACGGTCCTCGGCGGCTTTATGCGCGTGGCCATTGGCAACGCGTCGAGTCTCCAGCGCATTGATGAGATTATCTATGGCGCGGCCGACGACTTTGACAAGCTCGAGAAGGAAGACAAGAAGCGGCCGGCCGTGCCCCGCATGCAGCACGCGTTGTCGGTGCAGCACGTGTGCTTCAAGTACGACGAGCACGCGGAGAACTGGACGCTCGACGACATCAATGCGGTGTTTCAAAAGGTAGGGGTTGGCTTTTCTCGATTTTTCCGATTTTTCGAGTTTTCAAGTATCAATGTTTCAACTTTTTTGTAGGGCGACTATGCGTGCATTGTGGGCCCGAGTGGCTGCGGCAAGAGTACGCTCCTCGGCTGCTTGATGAACTTTTACGCACCGAGCGCGGGGGCCATCTGCGTGGACAGTGTGGACACGACGGGCTACTCGAAGGCGAGCTTGAGCCAGCAGATGGCGGTCGTCTTCCAGGACGGTGGCATTTTGAACGGCACCATCATGGAGAACATTCGGTACGGCAACCCGAACGCGTCGCGGGAAGAGTGCTTGGACGCGGCCAAGCTGGCCGAGTGCCACGACTTCGTCAAGTCGCTCAAGGACGGCTACGACACGATCATTGGCCAGCACGCGGTTGTCAACCTCAGTGGCGGCCAGTCGCAGCGCATTTGTCTCGCCCGCGCGCTGGTGCGGCAGCCGAGGTACAGGGATCGATCTTTTTGGGGTATTATTTACTTGTGCTGTGTAGCATTTTGCTCTTGGACGAAGCCACGAGTGCGCTGGATCAAGAAACAGAAGCGAGCGTCGTGGCGACGCTGGAAGTGCTGGCGAAGAAGCTGCAGATGACGGTAGCTGACACGCTGGCAAGCGGTGAATGAGATGCAATGCGGCGTGTGTAGATCATCTCGGTCACGCATCGGCTGACAACGACGCGCAACGCCGACGCGATCCTTGTCATGGACGCGGGCAAGCTCGTGGATGTGGGCACGTACAACGAGGTAGATCAAGATTGTCTTGGTGGACACGAAGATGACGAAGACATGCACATGTAGCTCATGCACAAGCCCGCGTCGCTCTTTGCGGAAATGGTGCGCAAGATGGACGAGGGCGCGGACGAGCCAACGAAGCGCAAGGCGCCGACGCGCGGCTCGTTCAACGTCAACAATCAGTTTGCCGACGACGCGAGCCACCTTCTGGACACGCACCGCGCGCTGGAAGAGTTCAACATGACGCTGGCCCAGCGCTCGGTAGACTCTCGACTCGATTTGCACGCGACTCATGGCGACGCATTAGGTCGAGGAGCGGTCGTTCTTGACGCGGCGGAATGGCACCAACCTCTCGTCGCACGGCGGGCGGTCGCAGAACGGGTCGGTCCTGCGCAACCGGGCGAAAAGCAGCGGCCCCGACTCGAGTCGCCAAGGCCGCGACAGCTACGTGGTCTTGTAGTCGCAGTAGGTCGAGATGCAGCGACACAAATTGCACGAATATCTCTCTACAATTGACGTCTCTATCCTCGTGGCGACTTTATCAATATGCGCAATGGGCAGCGGTCGTCGTGACCACGCCAGAACCCAACCGACATGGGTGGGTACATGTGCATCCAGACTACTAGTCGAGATGCGATGGACGGTGGCGGATCGTGGGAACGATGGAGGCAGAGCTTGGAGGCAGAGCTTGGAGGCAGTGGCACTCACGCACCGTACGCTCGCCTCATGCGTTGAGGAGATAGGTCGTCGGTGTTACGCGACCTCGACGCGCGCGCGCCTTTCTGCACGTCGTCGCCGTGGCGTCCATACTACTACCAACGACGACGTCGACTGCATGTAGCGGTAGTAGCGCGTCGACGTTCTGTCGAGCGTTCGATCTGCTCGGTCGTGCGTGGCGGAGCGTGTCGCAGATGGACCAGCTGGTGCCAGAGCTTGCCTGCATCTCCGCCGGGGTGGTTTGGGACGATGCGGTACGTGCGCCAGATTCCAATTGTCACTCGACCCACGTCGTGTCCTTCCCGCCTCTACTACGCCGACCATGAAGACGACGATGACGACGACGATGCTGCTTCTTGCGACGAGCGCTGCGCTTACCATGGCCGCGGATACGACGACGGCGCCCACTGGTGCCATGACGCCCGCGCCCGCCGGTGGCGCCATGTGCACGGCGGAGGCGCTGATGACGGCGTGGAACGCGGTCAAGACCGAGGCCAAGGCGAGCGGTGACAAGTGCGCGACGGACGTCGGGCTTGCGTCGGCCGAGGTGCTCGAGACGCTCACGGATGTGACGCCGGCGCAGCTC